TGTGTGTGTGTGTGTGTGTGTGTGTGTGTGTGTGTGTGTGTGTGTGTGTATGTATATATAATAGTCTTTTGTCTGGTGAAAAAAATTTCCCTGGAACCTAACCCACTCATTTACATTAATTCTTATGGGGAAATTGGATTCGCTTAACATCATTTCGCTTAAAGTCGCATTTTTCAGGAACATAACTGCAATGTTAAGTGAGGAGTTACTGTACTATAAAATGGTACACAACTGATTGATAGCTGTTCTCTGAGTACAGTTTCCCAATGACTCACAGTCAAGCTGGAAGGGCATATCGACTGGGGTCCCTCAGGAATCTGTCTTGGGTACGGTTCTATTCAATATCTCCAGAAATGATTTGGATAATTGCATAGAGAGTACACTTATGAAGTTTGTGGACATTACCAAGCTGGGAGGGCTTGCAAGCACTTTAGAGGACAGGATTAGAGTTTAAAATGATCTTGACAAACTGGAGAAATAGTCTGAAATAATGAAGATGAAATTTAATAAGGACAAATGTAAAGTACTACAATTAAGCAGGAATAATTAATTGCACAAATACAAAATCAGAGATGACTGCCTAGGAAGAAGTATTGCAGAAAAGGCTCTGGGTGTTATAATGGATCACAAGGTAATACTGTGGCGAAAAGGTGAACATCATTCTGGGGTGTATTAGCAGGAGTGTTGTAAGCAAGATGCAAGAAATAATTTTTGCACTCTACCCAGCACTGATCAGACCTTAGTGGGAATACTGTGTCCACTTCTAGACACCACACTTCGGGAAAGATGTGGACAAATTGGAGAAGGTCCAGAGAAGAGCAATAAGAATCATTAAAGGTCTAGAAAACATGACCTGTGAGAGAAGATTGGAAAAAAATTGAGTTTGTTTAGTCTGCAGAAGAGAAGATGGGGAACATAAGTCTTCAAGTACAAAAAAGGTTGTTATAAAGAGGAGAGTGATCTCAGTGGTTAAGGAGAACAATGAGACAGGCCAAGAAGCAATGGGCTCAAATTGCAGGAAGGAAAATTTAGGTTAGACATTTGAAAAAACTTCCTGTCAAGATAATTAAACACTGGAACAAATTAGCTAGGGAGGTTGTGGAATCTGTGTTTATTGGAGGTTTTTAAGCACAGGTTAGACAAACACCTGTTAGGGATGTTCTAGATAATACTTAGTCTTGCCCCAGTGCAGGGGACTGGACTAGATGACCTATCAAGGTCCCATCCAGTCCTACATTTCTATAATTTCATAGCTACAAGTTGAGTTAGAATATATAAAACACAAACCATGTTTTTGTGTGCAGTATACATTCCTCTGGTTTACAAAAATGTCAGCACTAAGAATGCTGGTAGTGGGATGTAAAACTTTTCACCTTGAAGGTTGATAGTGACTAAAAGTCCTTGCAATCTAAAAATTTTGTCCTCTAAGAAATAAAATGATCTCAGTTTACTTCTGAATGGATGAGTCCATGGGTACCAGTTGTGACATCAATTTCTGTGATGATTAGTAACCTTTATCTCAGTCT